CTCAAGAGCATGATGGTAATCGATTGTTTTTTTTTTTTTTGTGTATTTTAACGAGCTTTACCACTTGATAATCGAGGTGCTAGAGTAATTGGTAAAGAAGCTGTTTAAGCGGGACCGAACATTATGCCTGACGTTACTATAAGAAATATACTTTTTAAAGAGACATTTTACAATGGTATAGTGCAACCTTATGAGACGCTCAAGGAAAAGCCAAAAAAAAAGCCAATTTATGAGAGGTCTGTTTCAGCTGCAATTGCTTCGTAAAACTGTCTAGTCAAAGCGTGCACGTCCTGAGGTTCCAAAAAAACAGATTAAGTAAACGCAAAGACGAGACAAAAATATAAAGGAAAGAAAAATGAAATAAAAGAAAAGGAAAGAAAAGAGAGCTGCCAGACTTATTCTTGTAATTTCAATTTTAAAAATTGGCTTATTTACACTGCTACTTATGAAAATGTTTGAAGCCTGAGCTCTTTTTGCTTGATACTTCACTGATTCGATCGAATTTGTCATTCCATATAATGATAATTCTACACATCCGTTGCTTAGTGTACGGTTAATCTAACGTTAATCACGTGTTAATTTTAGTGTCAATAAAAGTGAAAAACGGACTTATGACGTAGCATTTAAAACTACAGAGGTAGGGCTAATCAACATGTCAATGTGTTTTTTTAATCAGAAAACTGCATTACCTCATAACAATACACACGCTTACAGATGGTATCTGAAAATTTTATCGAATTTTGATCTTGTGGCAAAATCATTTTCATGAACAAAAGCATTATGGTGCGATGATAAGGCGGTAAAAATTGACGATGTGTCAGATGCCAATACGGAACTCATTAAGTGACGTGCATTAATTGCAGCAAAGAAATCAATTGATGTGATTGGTCGTCTTTATTGAAACGTATGCAGTTAGTAAATGTTACCCATTAATGGAGTCAGGGTAAAAATGTGACAAGTGAGATCTTGTGATATATTTTGAATAATAAAAACCTGAAATTTGTTTTCTGTGCACATCGAAAAAGCAAATATTTTAGTTAGACGCGTTAAAATAAGACCATCTGTTGTACTATCTTATTAAGTTGCTATTTATGCTGATAAACATGGTGATGACTTTTTTTCCATATCTGTGGTGTACAATCTTATGCGATGGATTCTATTTATTGCTTACGAAACAATTGTTATAAACTGCACTGAAATTTGAAATAGCTGCAGAGCTCATTCTCAAATGTATTGGTCAATTTTGTTTGGTGTTTTTATTTTACACGAGTAACGAATTGAATATTAGACAATTTTTTGAAAACTTTTCTAATGAATTAAAAAAAGAAAAATGACGAAATTGCTAGAGGTTTTATTTCACTAAGACTTAACAAAAAATAGAAAAAAATAAAAAATAAGATAAACCGTTAATTAAGTGGTGGGAAATGGCCAATAAAATGCTTCAAAAGTAGCTATAGCATAATGTCGTTAATATTAAATTTATATCCAAGTTTTTATTCTGTATCATATGTGCTTATAGATTTTAGTCAAGACGTTTTGAAAGTGTAGGTAAGGACTGTAATCAAATGCAAAAAATAAACAATATCATAGTTTTGTGATCCTACCGATGAGTATTTTATTAAGAACGCCACAGTCAACATTTTTATACTTTCGCGTTCTCACTTACCTCTCAAGCAATATGGTCCAAAATACTTGATAATGCAGTTTTGGCACGCTCTAACGGATTTTACCACTCTTAAGCATTTTGAATACTCTGGTTTTTTGAATAAAAAGTAGCGTCTATTTATACTAAAAAAAAAAAACAGCTGCCAGTCTCTGATTAGCTGTTGAAAAAAAAGTCTTAGAGGGAGAAGTTTTGGATCTGTCAATCTCAAAGCAGTATCTACAATCATTTAACCCTTTAGATTATTTGCAAGCTTTTTGGATTGAATAAATCATTAGGTGAAAAAATAATCATTAAACGGGAATATGAGAAATTGTTGGACAATAATTGGGAACCTACCATTCGTCTATTGAGCTCAGATTTTGAAAGTGGTTCTTACACAGTTTCTAGTTAAAACGAGTTTAAATTGGCCTCTTCCAACATTGGAGTGCATATAATATATTACTGTACATAATTAGTTTATTTCAGCTATCCATCAATTGTACTCAAAACCACTTGTATCTGCAGACAGCTAACGCAAAGACGTGACAAATTAAGTTGACTAGCCGCGGTAGTAAAAAACTGTAAGCCGTAGCAGCAACCATCAGTTTGTGATCTATGCATTGTTGACTGGCAGCAGCACCACGCATAATACGTAGTACGTTGTACAGGTCATCTGTATACACATAGTATTAGCAGTTTTTCAGTACAGACAATGCATTATAAATATATATATATATGATTGGACCTAGAATACTATCCAGTGGCACTTCTAATCAACGAGTTAATGGGGCTGATTGGTTCTCTTCTTCATTATTGACTACCTGCTGTCTTTCTATAAGGTGTGATCATACCCATTCGCACGCTGAATCTAAAAAACTCACATGTTCAAATGTTTCAACTAGTAGACCAATGTTCACGCAATTAAATTTCTGTAAAAAATCCATAGCAATGAGGAGAGACTTGAACTGTCTATTAGTAGCTCTACATATATCGTTAATCACCTATACGAGAGCCATGTGAGCAGTTTTTTTTATTTTTAGCAGTTTATATGCCACACGCTAAGCTTTTTTAATAACCCAATAAACCCAATAAACCCTCATTTTAATGGGATGAGAATATTCTTTCACGTGGTAGCTGATTCTGGGCCGTAGTTTTTCGGTGCATTACCACTGCGCACTACTTTTACTGTTTAACCAATCGCTAGAATGTTCACTTTCTGTCTACCAATGTATTTTACTGCTATTTAAACATTTTGAATATTAATATACTCTCTTTCTTTTTCTTCCTCTGTACGGTAATTCAATAAACTTAGTGAGTAATAGGATACCTATAATGCTACGCTGCGTCACTCTTTCTCCACTTGTTCAAGATTTTATATGTCTTCCGCTCCACAAAATGTTTTATATTATCTACACTCGTCTCATCACGTTTATTAATCAGGTCTTAGATAATTATAAGACCGGAGTAACAATACGCGTTAGAGGGGGAGGGGTATGATGGTCGTCCCTCTTCTCTTCCTTGTATTGCCACGGTGGCACGGTGGCGTGTTAGTGGGGTCTAACAAGGCCAGGGGTAGGGGTTTGGTGTGACATGCTACTTTTTTGAATTACAACTTATACAGTGCACACAGAAACTAGTATACTATGATATAAAAAATGAGTTATAACTTAAAGTATGGGAAAATTCTTAGCTGTTATTTTTTGTACTTACTAAATTAAAATAAGTGGTTTGATTAGTCCAAACAATTTCTCCCTATAATGACAACATGTTACAGAGCAATTTAACTGGAGTTTGCGTTATCACTTAGATTAGACCTTATTCACAATGTTTTCATGCCTCATTTTAGGTTATTATCATTTTAATCCGTTTTATTAACATTGAGTATTATTGCATTGATAAAATTAAATAGCATGTAAGACTGAACTGAAAATCAATCTTATACCTCTCCTGTCAATGGCTAATAAACTGTCATCCGCTACTTAATTTTTATAATTCCTTACCGAATTTTGTTGAACATTGTTGCTATTGATATTTTTATTGTTAATTATCATCTTTCCTGCGAGATGACATTCATAATAACTGGTTACACTGGTTAATGACAGTGTTGGCAGTACTGACTGCCCGCTTGTTTTTATCAGTAACAGAGTGTGACCAATCTAGTGCACTGTCTCTGTCTCAGCTATCTCAGTTACGTTGATTTTACTTTCTAGTTCCCTTATCACTCATTCTCTTCATGTGAGCTTTTTTCATTGTCTTTAAATATTTTTATTTTATTGCTTTTTGCAAACTTATTTGGAATCTAGAAGTGATACTCATGACCATAAGGAGAATTGCGCTTGCGGCACTAATGTAGCTTTGCCTTATCTCTGGTACTTTCTCACATGTTAAACATGATCCATATATCATGCTCAGGTCTAGTAGTCAAACACTTGTGGGATGATTTATAAGAAGATTAATTTTACATTACTTCTCTAGGGCACAAAGTACAAACATGAGCGCCCGAATGACGCGATTGTTGTATGTTAATGCCCAAGTCACGTATAATGTTTTTCGTATCGAGGGCGAAAAGTACACTTTGCATCCATTAAATCATTTTGAGCCCTAGGGCAGAAAAGTACTTTGAGCCTGGAAGATGAGAAACACTTTTCCACCCGCGGGTCTAAAGTAATTTCAAGAGCGCAAAGAGTGGCACGAAGGCGCAAAGTGACAGTTGCACTTAGTGCTCATGGTAAGCAAAAAATATTTACACGAAGAAGGTTAAGCACCTTGAAAAAAAAAGCACGTACTGAACTTAAATACAATGTATCTCGAATATGAAACCAAAATACACTTAAATTTTTGAAATCCAATTAAGAATTAGAGAAATGAAATCCATGAGCTTAAGACAAAATGACATAACTTTTATTTGAGATACAGTCTTGGTAATATACTTAACTGAAACATGCATTTAAATATAGATGTGCACAAACAAGAGAACTACTATGTTAATTAAATCGAGATATTCAACGATCCTTATAAAATTATTCAGTCATACGTATTAAAGCACCTACATAAGGATACTATATCAAATTCTTATATCTAAGGTTAACAAATTTTAGAGATCAAAGTACAAAAGTCAATACTCCAAGATAAAGTTGTAGAAATCGAGGAATAAAAATAAAAATGAAAAAAGAAATCAACGGCAAATGTTAAGGTTTCGTCACTAACTCAATATTACACATCCAAATTCTAATTTTTAGACAATGTAAGAAAAATAGGAAAATAACATCTGGATAACTTGTAGTACTTAATAGTACTGAATTGAATAATCTTGCTACGATGAAATTATAAACTGATTGATTTTTATATTTTTCAGATTATCAGACTTCAAACGTGTTTAGCAGAGAAATTTTACTAAGCAAAAATAGAAATGCATTAGAGAATCAAGTTCGAAGCTCCAGGGTATACAAAGAATATTTAAACACCCACCAACGAGAGGATATTCTTAAAGTACAATATTCATCAGTAAGTATGACTTTTATGCTTTATTAATCATTATATCGAAGCTTTATAAAAGATTTCTTACATGCTTCATTACATTTATTTTTCATAAAAGATTTTTTACATGCGTCATTATGAATTAACACTCGATTTTTGAATTTATTGTACGTAAACATTATCTGCTAATAAAATTTTATATGCTTCGGATGTATTTTCTTCTAAATATTCCACCAATCACTTCTCACTTTTTTACTGCCCTTTTTTTTCTTCAGTAACTTATTACTCTGGTTCGATAAGTCCTTGTTTTCATAACTTATTTTACTATCAGGTTGTAGAAAAAATACTTTAAAATATGAAACAGTTCCTAAGTATATTCAGTGCATGTATTGTATTTCTAATAAAAAAAGTGTTGCAAATAATTTGCATTTAAAGCTTACTGAAATGAAAGATAAGGGAAAGGGGATCTTGCAAGGCTCTATGTAAAAAAGTTATACTACGCTGAGCCCCAAAATATTTTTCTGTGGTCAACTTGCCAGTATTTGGTAGAACAACAATATGCTCGAAAAAAACTAACAACCAAATACGATAATTAAATTTATTGGTTGATGTAGTGTTTAATAACGTCTAGTTTTTAATTACTGAAGATTACTAACATTCTTATATAAGAAGCTACGACCCTTTTTCGATAAAAGGGTATTATGAATTTTTTTAATATAAATTTCATTGTTATGAATAGTTGAAAGTATCGTTCTCAAAAACATCTAAAAAATTTTTTATAGTATAGAAAATAAATATACATCACACTTTTAAATGTATCTCCATGTTCATCTATGTAGGTGCATGTACAACCACTTATATTTTAGAAGTCTAATGTTGGATTTCAACTATCCAGGGCTTAGAATTATTGTGTTTTTTACCTTAAAGGGACCGGAAAACAATAAAACCTAATCCCAGTCTTTATATAAAAATTAGCGTTTTTGGTTTTACTTACCCTAATAGGTTATTTATTATTAATTTTTTTAAAGAGTATATTTTTTTCATTTAGTTAACATTCAAGCAGTATGTGTGATTATTAATTTTATAACGTTTGTATAAGCGATTGTTTTATCAAAAGACTATTTGGGTCTAGATTTTATGTTATTTAATGGATGC